AATTAAAGAAAAAATTTTTTTAATTAATTTAATGTCTTAAATTAAATGTCATATTAGTGTCAACTCATTAAAACTATAAAAAATATAACATGATATTGAAATTGTGACATCTGATAATTTTTATAATTTTTTTAACAAATAAATTATTGCAAAAAACATTAAAAAAAAAAATTGACATGTAAAAACTTTAAAAAATAAAAAATGCAATTTTTTAAAAATAATTTTTTGGAGCAAATTTTTTTATTAAAAAAAATAAAAAAAATTCTCTAGTGATTGTTAACATTAGTGTTATAAAAATTGCATTTATAAATTAAAGAAAAAATTTTTTTAATTAATTTAATGTCTTAAATTAAATGTCATATTAGTGTCAACTCATTAAAACTATAAAAAATATAACATGATATTGAAATTGTGACATCTGATAATTTTTATAATTTTTTTAACAAATAAATTATTGCAAAAAACATTAAAAAAAAAAATTGACATGTAAAAACTTTAAAAAATAAAAAATGCAATTTTTTAAAAATAATTTTTTGGAGCAAATTTTTTTATTAAAAAAAATAAAAAAAATTCTCTAGTGATTGTTAACATTAGTGTTATAAAAATTGCATTTATAAATTAAAGAAAAAATTTTTTTAATTAATTTAATGTCTTAAATTAAATGTCATATTAGTGTCAACTCATTAAAACTATAAAAAATATAACATGATATTGAAATTGTGACATCTGATAATTTTTATAATTTTTTTAACAAATAAATTATTGCAAAAAACATTAAAAAAAAAAATTGACATGTAAAAACTTTAAAAAATAAAAAATGCAATTTTTTAAAAATAATTTTTTGGAGCAAATTTTTTTATTAAAAAAAATAAAAAAAATTCTCTAGTGATTGTTAACATTAGTGTTATAAAAATTGCATTTATAAATTAAAGAAAAAATTTTTTTAATTAATTTAATGTCTTAAATTAAATGTCATATTAGTGTCAACTCATTAAAACTATAAAAAATATAACATGATATTGAAATTGTGACATCTGATAATTTTTATAATTTTTTTAACAAATAAATTATTGCAAAAAACATTAAAAAAAAAAATTGACATGTAAAAACTTTAAAAAATAAAAAATGCAATTTTTTAAAAATAATTTTTTGGAGCAAATTTTTTTATTAAAAAAAATAAAAAAAATTCTCTAGTGATTGTTAACATTAGTGTTATAAAAATTGCATTTATAAATTAAAGAAAAAATTTTTTTAATTAATTTAATGTCTTAAATTAAATGTCATATTAGTGTCAACTCATTAAAACTATAAAAAATATAACATGATATTGAAATTAAAAATTCTGATAATTTTTAGAATTTTTTTAACAAATAAATTATTGCAAAAAATTGACTGTAGAAATTTAAAAAAATTAAAAATGTAACTTTTTAAAAATAATTTTTTGGAGCAAATTTTTTTATTAAAAAAAATAAAAAAAATTCTCTAGTGATTGTTAACATTAGTGTTATAAAAATTGCATTTATAAATTAAAGAAAAAATTTTTTTAATTAATTTAATGTCTTAAATTAAATGTCATATTAGTGTCAACTCATTAAAACTATAAAAAATATAACATGATATTGAAATTGTGACATCTGATAATTTTTATAATTTTTTTAACAAATAAATTATTGCAAAAAACATTAAAAAAAAAAATTGACATGTAAAAACTTTAAAAAATAAAAAATGCAATTTTTTAAAAATAATTTTTTGGAGCAAATTTTTTTCTTAAAAAAAAATTAATAAATAGTCATTAAATTATAGCAAAAATAATAAATTTAATTTTTTAAAATCAATTTATTTTTTAAGAAAAATTAAAAAATTATCTAGTGTCTGCTAATTTAAGTGTCATTATAAAAAAAATTAATTAAAAACAATTGTCACTTACCCAAAAGCTAAATAATCCAAAATATTATTAAAAATTGTGTAAACAAATGTATCCATCCGCAATTAATTAATATAACTATTTAATGGAGTATGAAAATAAATAAAAAAAAAAAAATACACTTGTCAAAAAAATACCGAGTTAGTTATTAATTATTTCTTGAATGATTAATTTAAATTTAAAGATCAAATTATATAATGTACATAATTACGAAGAGCGAGTGTTCTCATACCGGCATCATGGTAACGACTAACCGAAAACTGAAAACCGAACTACCGAACGAAAACTAACCAAAACCAACACGATTAACACGAGCAACACCACCAACACTAACCCAAACCAATAATGGCGTCTTTTAACGTGTGCGCACAGTATATTCCTCTTTCTTTTATTTTCTTTTATGTGTGTGTTCTGAAATATGTATGCGACTAGTATTGTCCAAGCAGCTGTAAATATAAACTCGTGATTCAGCGCCTCTAGCGGTGGATAAATTTTAAATTTTTTAATTCGCGCCAAAAACTGAGGAGCTTTTAGTTATATTTTTCGCCTGTAGAGGCGCTCAATTTAGTTCTTTAGTTCGTTGGAGATAATGATAGTGAAGTTAGCTGACAGCTGTCAATTTTTTTTAATTTTATAACAAATAATTACAATAAAAAAAAGTTCTTTTAAAAGTTTTCACTAATAATAATGAAAATTAAATTGTTCATCTGAAAATTTTTATTATTATTTATGAAAATTAAGTTAGCCGACATTTAAAAATTTTTATAATTTTTTTTTATTGAAAAAATTATTACAAAAAAATTTTCACTTGTGAAAAACTTCAAAAACTGTAAGTGTAATTTTTTAAAAATGTTTTTTTGTATTAATTTAATTATTAAAAAAAAATCAAAAAATTAAAAATGTCGGCTAACTTTATTATTATAAAATATTTTTAAAAATTGTAATTTTTAATGAATAAAAATTTTTAGATGTCGGCAAACTTAATTTTCTTAAGTATTTTTTTACTTGTAATTTAATTGATGAAATAAAAAATAAAAAATTGTTGAACATCAGCTGATTTCTGTAGTACCTACTAATAATTTTTGTATAATTTTCACATGTGGAATTTTTTTATTAAATTTTTTTCATAATAATTTAATTGTTATAAAATTATTAAAAAATTTCTAATTTCTGTTAACTTCATTGTCATATAGATAATACTGAAGTTAGCTGACAGCAGTCAATTTTTTAAAATTTTATAACAAATCAACAATAAAAAAAATTCTTCTAAAAATTTCCACATATGTAGAATTTTATTAAATTTTATGATACTGAAGTTAACCGACATTTTTAATGTTTTGATTATTTTTTTAATACTTAAATTAGAACAAAAAAATATTTTTAAAAAATTGCATTTATAGTTTTTAAAGTTCTTTACAAGTGAAATTTTTTTTTTTATTTTTTTTGTAATCATTTGTTCAATAGAAAAAATTCTAAAAATTTTTAAATGTCGGCTAACTTAATTTTCATAAAATTTTTTTTTTTATAATAATTTAATTGTTATAAAATTATTACAAAATTTCTAATATGTTTTTCTTTATTGTCATTACAGATAACAACGCATGCGTTAAATCTAGGAGCAAATTCAAACTTGCTTTCAACTGCCGGTAGCCGGGAGAATCATCCAAGGTAACATCAGTGATTATTGACGTCAGATTTCACACTTTTTTTTTTTAAGATCTTAATATCGTGAGTCACAGATTCCAATTGTTTGCAGTTATTTTATGTAATAACACAATAATTCATCTGTTATCGAGTCATCAGCCAGAAGAGCCCAGAGTAATAATTTTTTTTAAAGAGACACGTCATCTATTTCCATTCGCGCTATAGTTAGATTAAATATACATATATATAGATTATAGTTTTATAACACATATTCAGTCTAGTTTTTCTCTTCAGGTCTGCGGTCTTCAGTCTGGAATCCGGTGGTCTAGAGTCAACTATATATTTATATATATATAATATATACTTGAGCTACGTTTTCTCTTGGGATCATTTTTACGACGTATTTTTGATAAAACCACACCCAGTAAGTAGTTTTACATATTTTATTAATTATTAACTTTAATTTTTATAATTTATTTAATTTTTTTTTTTCATTTTATTTACTTCAATTTTTCAATCATTTTTTGTTAAATAATTTCATGCCGCATAAAATTTTTTTTTACATTAATTTACTTTTTTTTATAATTTATAATGTATTTTATTATTTTTAATTAATTTCAATTGTTATACCATTGAGAAGTTTAGAAATTGCGAGCTATTTTATTTAATTCGAGTTGACCTAGAAAAATAAATTTTGGGCGTGTTTGTATATCCGGAACTGTCATTAAATATGTACTTAAATTATTAATAAAATAATCATTTTTTTTATTTCTTCTTTTATTAAATTTTTATTAATATTTTTCTTCTTGTAAAAAAACATTTTATTTTTTCTTTAAAAAAAAAATATTTTGTTAACATATTTCGTCCCAAAAATATTTAATTTAAATAATTTATTATTACACTTAAAATTTCTTCTTTTATTAAAAAAGTTTCTTCTTAAAAAAAATATTTTATTTCTTCTTTAAAAAAAATATTTGTTAAATATTATATTTCTTCCCTAAAATATTTAACTTATATAATTTATTATTACACTTAAAATTTCTTCTTTTATTAAAATATTTCTTCTTAAAAAAAAAATATTTTATTTTTTCTTTAAAAAAAAAAAACACATTTTTTTAATATTATTTTTCTTCCCAAAAAATCTTAATTTAATTTATTATTAAATTAGAAATTTCTTCTTTTATTAAAATGTTTCTTCTTGATAAAAAATTTTTTATTTCTTCTTTAAAAAGAAAATTCTTAAATATTATATTTCTTCCTTAAAAAATTTATTTTAAATATTTTATTATAACACTTAAAATTTTTTCTTTTATTAAAATATTTCTTCTTAAAAAAAAAAATATTTTTTTTCTTCTTGAAAAAAAAATTTTTTTTAAATATTATATTTCTTCCCTAAAAACTTTAATTTAAATAATTTATTATTACAGTTAAAATGGCTGCCAGTAAATACTACCACGTACAAGTAAGTACTACAATTAAATAACAATTACTTAATGTAAAAACAAAGTAATAACCTAATGACTAATTACTTATTTAATTAAAAAAAAAAAATAGTGTACACCAACTGTCTACCCAGCTGATCCCTTCAACGCAGAAGAAGATGCCGCATTATTGCGAACTGCCATGAAAGGGTTTGGTACCGACGAGCAGGCGATTATTGATGTCCTTGCGCACCGCGGGATAGTCCAACGCCTTGAAATTGCTGACAAATTTAAGACCATGTACGGCAAAGATTTAATTTCTGAATTAAAGTCTGAACTCGGTGGAAATTTTGAGAATGCTATTTTGGCTCTAATGACCCCATTGCCGAATTATTACGCCAAGGAACTTCATGACGCCATCTCCGGGATGGGAACTGACGAGGGTGCTATTATTGAAGTTCTTGCTTCTTTGAGCAATTATGGTGTCAGGACTATCGCAGCTGTTTACAAAGATCGTAAGAATTTTTATTATTTATATTATTAAGAGAATAGTCAATTTATGATAAGTATTTAGGCTGCATTTAAAAATGCTCTATCTCTAGATACATAATTAAGAAATTACCTTGTACCTTGTAAACTATTGACATTTTTAAAGATATAAGCTCATCCTGATGTTACATTCATCAAGACCTTTCATTTGAGTACCCACATCAATTTTTCATATATTTCATATATTTATATATATCATATATATGTAAATATGAAAAATATATAAAAATACATGTGGGTATTCAAATGAAAGCTCTTGATGAGTATAACATCGGGATGAGCTTATATTTTTAAAATATATATTATATATATGTATATATGAAAAATATATCAAAAATGCATATGGGTACTCAAATGAAAGCTCTTGATGAGTGTAACATCAAGATGAGCTTATATCTTTTAAAATGTCAATTTTTAAGAAAGTACAGTGCAATTTAACAAAAATCATTATTCAATAAAGCAAAATTTTATTTATTTATAGTTTACATTCTCAGCAGTCACATAGTGACTGCAAGATTGCTACTATTAATTATTAAAATTTTTCAAAATTTTATATTTCTTCTTAATTAATCTTGAAAAAAATTATTGAAATTAAAAAAAAAAGTATTCTTAAAAGTACGGAATTTTTTTGTTAAATTTTTTTCATTATCATTTAATTGTTCTAAAAACTTTTAAAAGTTTATAATAATAATTTAATGACTCATTGTCTAAGTATTTACAATTAATATTCGAATGACGTTTTATATTAATATTCTAAGAATTATATTGTTCAATTAGCCTTCGATGCATGACACACTTAAGCTTCATTCACTAGAAAGTTTCAAGAAATAATTTAAGTCTAAGAAATGACGTCAGTATATTATATCTATTTAACTGTAATTAATGTTTTATATTTTATTGTTATCAAAAAAAAAATTTAGACCCGAGATAAAAAAAATCATTAAATAGTTGAACCAATTTAAAAAAAAAAAAAAAAAAAAAAACTATTAAAAAAATAATTTCCTAGAATTAAATTAATTAAATTATTTTTACAGTTTATGACACAGAATTAGAAGATGCTCTAAAAGGCGATACTTCCGGACATTTTAAACGCCTATTAGTTTCTCTCACTTGTGTAAGTAATAATTAATTACTAATTACATATTGTGTAATTAAACTTTCTTTGCATCCAATAATTTAATTAATTTAATTTAATTTAATTTAATTAATTAAATTAAATAATAGGCAGCAAGAAATGAAGATCCGGACATAGATGAAGCTTCAGCAATAGAAGAGGCCCAGAAATTATTTGAAGCCGGTGAAGGCCAATGGGGAACGGACGAGAGTACCTTCAACGCAGTTTTGATCACTAAAAGTTTTCCACAATTGAGAAAGATCTTCCACGAGTATGAAAAAATTTCCGGTAGCAGTATTGAAGACGCAATTCGTCGCGAATTCTCCGGGTCTTTAGAAGATGGCTACCTTGCAGTTGGTAATTATCGATTTAAATATTTTTTTTATGAACCTAAAAATGTAATTTTTATTTTTTAATTTAATTTAGTAAAATGCGCGAGAGATAAAACTGCTTACTTTGCTGAGAGACTCCACAACGCTATTGCTGGAGCGGGAACTGATGACTCTACTCTTATTCGTGTTATTGTTACACGTTCTGAAATAGATCTTGGGGATATTAAGGATGCTTACCAACAAATTTATGGATCATCACTTGCTGGAGATATTGATGTAAGAATTTTTAAATTAATTTTTATTTTTCATAAAATAATCATTCATTATTATTATAAGATTAATGAATCTTTAATTTTATTATTAAATTATTTTTTTTTTTTTAATTTGATTATTCAAAATTTAAACCTATTAAATTAAGGGATCATTCTGGTTCCGGCGAAATAAAAGATTTAGTTGGAAAAGTTTAGGATAGATGGCGCCAAGTTCTGGGATTCCCCGGGAAAATGGGAATTTTTTTTTAGTTAGGATTGAGATTTGTTTAGGAAGAGTTATTTTGATGATTATTGGAAAAAATAGAGGAATTTTTGGTAAAATATTAATAAAATTTTAAATATTAAACATAAAATTGGGAAGAAATAAATTTTTAAATTAAAATATTGCAAATTCTATGAAGAAAATTAAGAAAAAAAAGAAAATGTTCATTATTTTTTTACACATAAACTATTATAGATATTGATATAAAATTAATTCATCACAACAAAAACACTCTGAATAACACAAAAAATATCTAAATTTATTTTTTTTAAATTTTTTATTATGAATAAACAACGGGTGAACGGAGCTCCTTCAGAACGTTGGTATAAAGCTGACGTACATGATAACTTGATAACCCAAAATTATTTACCTTCAATATATAAGTAGTTATTGCATTAGCGAAGGAGATTAATATCTATTGATAAATAACAAAATTAAGGACATTAAAAAAAACTGAAAAATGAGGCTTTTTTCACAGTTTTTAGTCCTAAAAAAAAAAGTAAAAATGAAAATTTTGATTTGGTTGGAGCTGCTGCAATATCTACTACTATGTAGAATATGTCGTTTAAATTTCATTAAGATCGGGTCAGTGGTTCCGGAGATATCATGTACGTCAACCAGAAAATCATAGTTCTGAGATAAACGCGTTTAAAGTTTTTTTAATTAAAAAAAAAAAAATCTTACCGAAAGTCAATCATTGACGCCGGCAGCATACAAAATCTCTTCAGCTTTTTCAAAAATTTTATTTTCTTCCACTCGAACATCCACATAAACATCGTAAAATAATATAGTTAGTGGTCCGATCACAGAAATTTTAACACAATACTTTTAGATATTCTTACTTTTGAAAAGTGTAAAAAAAAAAATATTTTTTGAAAGATAATCTAGAATTACCTCTTTATTTTCTTTATTTGGAACTGAAATATCAATTAAAATAAATACTTATAAGGGCCAAAATTTTGCTGGAATTTTAAAATAAATTGCAAATTTTTAATATTACAGCAAAATAAATTTTTTTTTTCAAAAGTTATAAATCAGAATGATCCAACAAAATTATTTAATAAAAATTTATACTAATATTAATTATTAATTAACAAAACTTGTATTAATAACTAATAACCATTGATGTTAATTAGATAAGTATAATTTAGTACGAAAAGCCATCACATTTATCAAAGTTAATAACAAAAAAATATTAATTTAATAAACAATTACGTTACAGGGCGACACTTCTGGAGATTACAAGAGACTTTTGCTTGCTTTGATTGGCGCTTAGTCATAAACACGACATAATTCGTTAACATTGTACTCAAAAAATCATCACATTAATTATAAACGATGTAATTAACTAATGATCTGTGACTAAATATCTCAATTTATTATTATTATTATTAAACATGTTATTATAATTTATAAACAAATAAACGCATGGCCTTACAATTATATTTTATTTTTTTTTTTTTTTACTTATTTACGTGATGGATTTTCGTACAATCATTAGGTCATTATTTTATTTGTTTTCTTTGTTTAATTTACAGAGTGACTGCAGCGCCGACTTTAAACGCCTTCTACTTGCTCTTATTAATTAAACATTACTAATATCAAATATCAATAAAAATATTTGTATAAAAAATTATAACTGGAAAATAATTATTTTTAATTGCAGGACGATTGTGCCGCGGCATGTAAAAAACTACTTATTGCTCTTCTTAATTAATTATAAAGAAGTATATGATTAATTTTAGGAAGAAACATTCCAGTGTTCAAAAATAGATCTTTTTTTTTTTTTAACTTCTTTTAAATAACAATTACGTTAGGATAATTTTTCTTTCGAACCGAAGGAATGTCAAAACAGCCTAAATTTATTTCTTTATGAATTACGTGATAAATGGCAACTCGCAAATTAGAGCAACAATGAAAGTGATGCATCTTAAAGGTTAAGTCATAAAAGGTTATACAAATTTCAGCACTTATTTTTTCAAATTCGGGAATTCCGACACAAATTGGTGGTGGATTACGTGCTGCAAAAATAATATATATTTATAGAAAATTTATATATGAATAGAGGCTTGATATATTTATTTTTTATCACTTTTATAAGTGAGAAGTTGTTTTTAAAAATAGTATAAAATTTTATGGCATTAAATTTAGCTGTTAATAATTTTTCAATTTTATTTAACAAAAAAAATTTGTTCCAAAAAATTATTTAAAAAAAATTGCATTTTTTATTTTTTTGAGTTAATTTTTTTCGGTAATTTATTTTTTACAAAAATTATTAAATATTTGTTACAAATAAAAAAAAAAAATTATTAGACGCTTAAAAATTGGATTTAAATATTTAATAATCTTAAAAAGTTTATTAAAAAAAAATTATAAAAATTACCTGATATTGTTTCGTTGTACAATGTATAATTGTTGTAAGTTATTGTCAATGATATTCCATAATCATCGGATAAATATGTAAAATTTGAGCAAACTATAATAAAAAATTATATTTAAAAATATAATATTGATTTTTGTTTGATTATTATTATTTATATTTAATTACCAATTCCATGAATTTCAGGTAAATTTAATTTTTCACAGCATCCACAGTTGTAATTAACGCAGTGACATCCATTATTTTGATTTTCTAGATAAAAAAAATAAAAATAGTAATTTATAAATGGTGGAAAAAAAAATTACATACCATTAAAATGAGCATTGATTGAATTAATGCTGAAAAATATCAATAAAAGTATGTAATAATTCATTGTATGATTAAAAAAATAAATCAATATGATTTTTATCAATTGTGACAGAAATAAAAAAATCAAAAATAATAATGCGTATTTACTTGTTGATAACGTTAATTAAGGTTATTTGAAGTAGATGGCATTATTTTCACCAACAGATGATAAAAAGATTTTAATTTTTTATATTTAAATTAAAAAAATTTATTGAAATTTTTTTAATAATATTATTATAAAGAAAAATTATGAGTGGAAATTCTTTATAGAATTTTTTTTTATTGTAATTGATTTATTATGAAAATTTAAAAAATTGACAGGTGTCAGCTGACTTGATCATAAATTTATGATCTATGATCTATAAGGCAAAAGCACCAACCATTGACAGGGATTAAATTATTGAATTACATTTTACTTTATTTAACAAACAAATTTGTTCCAAAAAATTATTTTTAAAAAATTGCATTTTTACTTTTTTAAAATTTCTAAATGTCAATTTTTTTTTTGCAGTAATTTATTTTTTTAAAAAAATTCTAATAAGAAATGCAAAATTTTGGTGAAAAATAAATCATATACATAGTTAAGGATCTTATAATTATTTGACAATTAAATAACTGGAATATTTTAAATTATAAAAGAACAATTTGATATGTTTGACTTAATTTTTTTTAACTAGCACAGTTTGAAAAAGGCGTTTAAGGATAAATAGAAGAAGATACAACAAAAGAATGTTCATAGCTGAATGTGGCAAAATTTGGTGTCTTGAAGGTGACAGTTTTCTTTTTCATCTATTTAAATATTATATCTGCTACTTTAATTTTCATTAAAAACTTCTTCTTAATTTTCACATATAGAATTTAGTAGACGTCTAAAAATTTTTTATTTTTTTTTATTAATTAAATTACAACTAAAAAAATTTTTTTAAAAAATTGCAGTTGTAATTTTTTTAAGTTTTTTAATTAAAATTTTTTCAATAAAAAATTTCTAAAAATTTTGAAATTTCGGCTAACTTCATGAAAATTAAGTTAGCCGACATCTAAAACATCTAAAAATTTATAGAATTTTTTTTATTGAAAAAATGATTACAAAAAAATAAAAAAAAAAAATTTCACTTGTCAAAAACTTTAAAAACTGTAAGTGTAATTTTTTAAAAATATTTTATTGTTGTAATTTAATTTAAAAAAATAAATCAAAAAATTAAAAATGTCGGCTAACTTTATTATTATCTAACTTCATTTTCATTTTTTCATGACACTCAAGTTAGCAGACGTGTAAAAATTTTTGATTTTTTTTTATTAATTAAATTACAACTAAAAAGATATTTATAAAAAATTGTACTTATAGTTTTATAAGTTTTTAACATGTGACAATTTTTTTTAAATTGTTTAATTGAAATTTTTTTAATAAAAAATTTCTAAAAATTTTTAAACGTTAACTTCATTTTCATAATTTTTCTGCTATAAAATCCTAAAAAAAATTTCTATCATCTTCAATATTAAACAATATTATCTAAAATTTAGGTTAGAAATTGACAGGTGGTTTAGACGGCGCTGTAACCTCTCTTTTTATATTTAAATTAACCACCAAACTGTCATTTTCTTCACACGTAAATAAATCACATGAAGAAAAAAAATTTCCAAAAAATAAGCAAAACATATCTTCTGTTAGGTTACAAAAAAAAATAATAAAACAAAAAAGACTTGAAGATTATAAACAATAAAAACTAAAACTCGTCAGATTCACTTTACTTGTCACTCGTAACTATTTACATCCACTCTCTCGTTTCCTTTCGGGCGTCTTCGTGGATTTTTAGTAACTGTCTTCTCTTTCTACACTTTTTAAATTTCCCACTCCTGTTATTCGGTTGGCGTTCAGCTTACTAATACCGATAATCACTTCCCAGGTAGTAAGGTACAGTCAACAAGCTCCAGATCTCTTCAGAAGAATATAAATATAACAATTTAAAACAATCCGGTATTAATTATTATTATTATTATTATTATAACCAAATTTTTAAAACAAATGTCAAGTGTTGATAAATTAAAAGTGACTCAAAAAAATAAAAATTAAAATGACAGATATTTATAAAATATGAAGTGACACGTGTCTAACCGGCACATTTTTTTTATATATATATATATATAAACCAAAGACATTTAATTATATATATATATATATTAAATAAAAATAAATTAGAATTTTTATAAATAATTAAAATTAAAAATGGCTGTCAGATGGATCTTATTACTGTTAATGTGGTTTGTTTACGCTTCCGCTCAAGATGACGACTCGTTAGCTGGAAGTTTTTTGTCAGGTACGAATCTTCTTATAATCTTCTTGTAAGTAATCGGTAAAGTAACTACTGCCGGATGCTGGAATAGAAGCAACAACATTAACTTGTTGTTTGAAAAATAGTTAACGGATTTTCCACGACCGGAAGTTTCGAGAAATAGAAATTGGCGACACCGTTTTGTAGTCAGGAATATAATGTTGTTGTTTAAGTATATATATATATATATATATGTGTTATATACATATATATATATATATATATGATGAGACTGTCTTGACATACTTTTATTTAAGTAAAGTCAACTTTATAGCCTACTATATTTTACCGCATTAATTATCATGGTTGTTTTTTGAAGGTGACCTGATAAATTTATTAGGCAGAAAAAAAATTGTTAATTTTTTTAGATGGGGTAATTTGGTAATTTTTTTTAAAAGAGATTTTAGATTATAAATTTTAATTTAATTCCAAATAAAAATCAGTAGATTGTAGAGTCTACAAGGTGCACCGTTGATTAACTACCGTTATGTTTGTTTCGGGCCGTTATATTACGCCTGCATTAAAGTTAAGTGAAAATTACATTATATTACAATATACTGATTTTTATTATTTTATTTAAGAAACTAGTAATTTAATTATTATAAAAAAAAATTTATTTAAAAATTCTACATGTAAAAATTATAATACTTAGCCGACGTTTTTAATTTTTTAATTAAATTAGAACAAAAAAATATTTTTTAAAAATTGTACACAGTTTTTTACAAATAAAATTTTTTTTTAATAATTTTTTCAATGAAAAAATATTCTAAAAATTTTTAAATATCGGCTAACTTAATTTTAAATAATACTTTTTAATTTTTTGATTTTTTTTTTCAATAATTAAATTAGAACAAAAAAATATTTTTTTAAAATTGCACTTATAGTTTTTAAAGTTTTTTACAAGTGAAATTTTTTTTTTATTTTTTTTGTAATAATTTTTTCAATGAAAAAATATTCTAAAAATTTTTAAATATCGGCTAACTTAATTTTAAATAATACTTTTTAATTTTTTGATTTTTTTTTTCAATAATTAAATTAGAACAAAAAAATATTTTTTTAAAATTGCACTTATAGTTTTTAAAGTTTTTTACAAGTGAAATTTTTTTTTTATTTTTTTTGTAATAATTTTTTCAATGAAAAAATATTCTAAAAATTTTTAAATAGCTAAGAAAATTAAAAAAATAAAAAATTCAATTTTTTTAGAAATAATTTTTTAAATAAAAATATACAATATTAAATTTATTATAATAAAGTTAGCCGACATTTATTGATTGTTCAATTTTGCTCAATTTATTAAATTATAACTAAAAATTATTTTTTAAAAATTGCACTTATAGTTTTTAAACTTTTTTACAATTGAAAATTTTTTTTTAATAATTTTTAGATGTCGGCTAGCTTTATTTTCATATTAAATTTATCAAATAAATTTAATCAAGTGATATTACATTACATGATGGTAAAGGGAGCAAATAAAAATGAAAATTGTAAAATTCTAAGATGTAATTGCAAGTACTAGGTAGAGAAGTAGCAGAATTAAAAGAAAAAAGATTATTGAATATTTTTTGAAGCATTTTTTTATTTTTTTTAATGATATTCAACTTGTCAATTTTTATTAAAAATTAATTAGAACAAAAAAATGCTTTTTTAAATTTTTACTGATAGTTATAAAATTATAAAAAAATTCATAATGTCAATTAACTGAATTTTGTTTTTATTTTAATTGATTTATTATAAAAAATTTTAAAAATTGACAACTTTAGTAACATTAAAAAATTTTCATTAATAATTTTTGAAATTTTTTAAATGCAGAATTTTAATACTAAATTTTTTTAATTAATTAAATTATCTTTTTTTATTGTAAAATTAATTTGTTATAAAATTTATAATTGTCAGCTAATTTTAATATTGTTTATAAAATTAAAATTAAAATTTATTAACTATAAATTTAATTAGAACTCAAAAATATTTTACAAGCAATAATTAAGACTTAAAAATAAAAATAAACTACTTGAAGAAATTTTTTTTACTAACAATTTCAATGACAGTAAAAAAAAAAAAGTGAAAATTATCTGAATCTAATTATTGTAATTGCTGTTAAGAGCAAATAATTGAAAGCTAAAAAAAATCCAAACTCTCACTTGATCTGAAAAAAAAAAAATAATTAACAAAGATTATTACTTAAAATTTAAATATACTTGCCATATAGATATATATATATATATATATATATATTTATATTTAACGGTTCTGTAACGTGTCATAATCTGTTATAACAAGAATCTCCAGTTCAATGACTCGCCTAAGCTACGGGGGATCTCACGATCAGATAATGATTATGTATGCAGGAATTTTTATTTTATCCTTTTAGTATTTTAGTTACGGATAACGTTATTTTCTAACGTGTTCTAACGAGTTTATAATATTTATATTTCTTCAGGTCAAACCTGTTTAAAAAAATATTACATCAGTTTTATTACAAAAATCATCTATATTATTAAGAGAATAATAAAAATGATAGTCAATTTATTATGATAAGTATTTAGGCTGTTTTCGAAAATGCTCTATCTCTAGATACTTAATTAGAAAATGACCTTGTATCTTGAGAACTATTGACATTTTTAAAGATATAAGCTCATCCTGATGTTACACTCGTCGAAACCTTTCATTTGAGTACCCACATCAATTTTTCATATATATTATATATTTATATATATTATATATATGTATATATGAAAAATATATCAAAAATGCATGTGGGTACTCAAATAAAAGCTCTTGATGAGTATAACATCAGGATGAGATTATATCTTAAAAAATGTCAATAATTGAGAAATGACCTTGTATCTTGTCAATTATAAACATTTTTAAAGATATAAGCTCATCCCGAGATTACACTCGTCAAGACCTTTCATTTGAGTACCCACATCAATTTTTCATATATATTATATATTTATATATATTATATATAAGTACCCATATCAATTTTTCATATATTTTATATATTTATATATATGTATATATGAAAAATATATCAAAAATTCATGTGGGTACTCAAATGAAAGCTCTTGATGAGTATAACATCAGGATGAGTATAACATTAATTATTAAAATACTTATTCTATATAAATAATACATATTTAAAAAAAAATAAAATATTTTTTTTCAGGGTTGCTAGATTCATTGGCAGATACGGCTAATAGCGCGGATTGTCCAGGAGTTTGTGTCCATGCTTTGGCGACACTAATATGTGACAAAGTTCTTGATGAGGTCCAGTGCCCAACTTCTAGCATGAGATGTTGCGTGAACGAGCCAGCTAATGGAACGGATGGTTCCGTGTCTGAGAACGACATTGAGGGAATCGCAATAACTAGCACCACCTTCAAGGAAATACCGCCGACGACGACGACCACCACCACTACCACCACACCTGTACCGACTACTGTTTCAACTACGACCCCTGCTCCAATAACGTCGATAACGACAGTGTCTACCACTCAATCGGTAAGTTTTATTAGAAACAAATATTTTATTGTAATTGTAAATTATAATAGTTGAATTTTATTGCTTTCAGAATGGCCATAAAAATGCCAGTGACAAGACAGGTAAAGATAAATTTTGATTTTTCTGCTTTTTTCAAGCTTCGCTTGAAAAATTTCCAACTAATTTTGAGCTCTTCGAGCTCAAAAATTCAAGTTATATAAAAAAGAACGATTTAGAAATTTTTTAAGGGCTAGAATTTTTGAACGCGTCGTTTGATTTTGATTTGCTTGGCGGCATTCGACTTAGTTTTTCAAGTCCAAAAAAGTGTCTCTGATGTCTGGAGTTGATTAGTCAAATATTTAGAAAGTTATTTAGAAAAAACTTAAAAAAAATGTATTGTTGGTTTTTATTTTTTGAATTTCTTTGAAAGGGCTCTGGCGATTGACTTTAAAATCTAATCAGACCAAAGTCTCAATGAACACTTTAGAACGCCGTGTCGCTCATCTCGATCGGTTGATTCGTTCTAAAGATATCCTACGGCAAAATTTTATTTACATACATACACACGGCCGGACGTCCAGCCGGGAATAGTCGGAACAGCTTCCTAGGACCTCAAAACCTGGAGATCTGATGACAAACTCTTATTCTCAAAATTCCACCGACAATCAATAACTTGGTATTTTAAAAAAAAATTAATTTTCAAAGCGGCAAGTTTAAAAATGTTAAAGTTGTTGGAAAAACTACTGGTAAAAAATGAAATAACTTTATTATCGAAATATCTTTCTCAAGTTTCTAATTTCTTATTAGAAATAAATTAATAAAAGTCGTAACTTTGAATAACTGGATAATAAAGTAGAATAGGTTTTATCAGTGTAATAAGTAGAGTATAAAAAAAATCAAGAATATATAAATTAATATATCAATTATATATGTATTAAAATTTTCCAGTTTAATTAATTTTTCTAAAAGTTATACTCGGTAGATAAAAAAATCTTCCACCTCATAAATTAGGAATTATATAAAAATATTAAATGATTATTGAAGATAATATAAATATTTATTAAATCCTATGTTAAAAAATCATTTATTAACAGTTAATAGAGCTTATTAAATACAAACAATTTTATTTTCCAGTCCCCAAATGTTCTGGTGTTTGCATCGAAGCCAGGATTGCTAACTACTGCGAAGCGATAGTCAATATCGACAGTCTCTGTAAACCTGAACACCGCTGCTGCGTATCCCGTGACTCCTTCGGCAACAATCCTCCTCCGGAGTTTTACGTTATTGATAGATCCAAAACAGCTAAAAATACCACCCAGACCTCAGCCCGTCCAGAAGAAAAATACGCTGAAAAATCTACAAGTACTGTGACTCCAGCGACTCAATACACAACCACAGCAAGACCCAAACCAGCTCCAAGAAAGCCTTGCAGAGGAGAGTGTGTCAACGGGTTATTCGCTTTGTTCTGCGAGAACCATGATCACGAGGCTGAATGTCCTTCTGACGGAACTTGCTGCATCACTGATGCTCCAGCAAAGGTAGAAGTAAAAACCACGACTACTCCAAGACCTACAACGAGACCTCCTCCGCCAAAGTTACCTCCTTGTCGCGGATTTTGTTTGCTGACAATTATGGCTGCGTTTTGCGAAAGACCGAATACTATTATTGGAAGAACTTCTACTTGTCAGAGCGGATATGTATGCTGTGATGAAAGCAACGCACCTGCTCATGTAAGTTCTGATTAATTAATAAATTTTTACATTTATTAATTATCTTAATTGGTTTTTTAGACTCCTAGACCTAGGCCAAGACCTTCTACGACTAGAGCGCCGACAACTACTGTTTCTATGCCTCCAGATCCAAGGCCAGAGTGTCCTGGATCTTGTATAGTTTCTTATTTATCTTTTACGTGCTTCCGTAAGTTCTTTATTATTGTTTACAATATAAATTTCAAACTCCACTTTAGAGAATCTTCTGCTTGTACGAAAAAAACAATTAGTTCAAAATTTATTATCTCTTTAAAAACCATTTAATATCATTATTATCTAATATAGAGATATTATTGAAAAGATCGAGACCTGAATTTGTGCTTTTCAATAATAGTTAATTTATTATAATTAGGAACAAAATTTTTGCTACAATTTTAAAATAAATAGTACAAAAATTTGTCCTATAAAAAAATTTATCGAATAAAAGTTGTAAAAAGTTTAATTTGATACCTATTATCAGAAAGGTCTTGATAAAAATTAGTACCGTTTGATTTTATATATTTTTTAGTAGTCAATTTTTTATTTCAAGTTTTTGAAGGAGTTTTTAATAGTTTTTTGGTTCTATAAATTTATTCCGACACATTTGTCCATTAAATTATTAGTAATTGACTCTGTGATAGCACTATTATTTTCAAAATTTATTAACAAGTCCCTCAACTATGTATAATGTCATAAATATAAAAAAATCAAGCCAAAATTTTCTTATTAATAATTTGTAAATCTAGAAATTAATATACAAAGTATTTTTTTAGGAAACGCTGAACTTACCAATATATTCAAGTGTAAAAAATTCGGCCACCAGTGTTGCGCACCAAAATCTCTCATCCGGGAATTTCAGCATGGAAATTCCACTGATACTATTTCAAATAAAAATGACAGCTTCATTGCTTCACGTCCTTACACTTCAACTCTTCCTACTCCATGTAAGTTTACTTTAATTAAATCCAAAATAATATAATTTTTTTAATTTTCTACACGTCAAATTTTTTCTTTCAATTTTTTAAAAATAATTTCTTTTTAATAGACTAAATTCTTAAAATTTTTAAATATCAACTAATTTAAATGAAAATTAAGTTAGCCGATATTTAAAAATTTTTAGTTTTTTTTTTTTTATTGTAAAAATCATTACAAAAAAATTTGTAAAAAATGTCACTTGTAAAAAACTTGAAAAACTTTAAGTGACATTTTTTAAAAATATTTTTTTGTTTTAATTTAATTATTAATAAAAAAATCAAATAATTAAAAACGTCGGCTAACTTTAGTATCATCTAATTTAATGAAAATTAAAATCGCTGATATTTTATAATTTTTTTAAGAAATAAATTACTGCATGCAAGAAAATTATTAAAAAAAAAAATTGACATCTAGAAATTTTAAAAAATTAAAAATGCAATTTTTTTAAAATAATTTTTGGAACAAATTTGTTTGTTAAATAAAATTGAAAAATGATCTAGTGACTGCTAATGTTAATGTCATACTAATATAATCTTTATAAATATCTCAATTAAATTTATACCTGTCAGTTGATAATTGCACGACTCATGATGCGAAACATCAGAGAGTGCTTTACGATCGAAAAATTTTTTTTAATTTTTCTTAACAAATAGGGTAAATGCACCAATTATTGACCGATTAAGGTTTTCTTTTTCTGTACTAAGCTATAAAAAAATCTATTAACCTATTAAAAACAATTTGTAATGGATTTTATTAAAGTTGAATACTTAATTAATAATAATTAATAACTATTTATAATAAAAATTAACAAAATTATATTAATTTTGTTATTTGAATGTTGAAATACTAAAATCACCAATTATTGACCGAAGAAACCCAATAAATGACCGACCGTTCTCCAATTAATTGACCGCTCAAATAATTATAAGTAATTTTGTAAACTACATGTATGTAATTAAATTTATGGAGTACTTTTCAAGTATTAACGACATCTTTAACAAAACTAAACATACAATATAATTTTAAATCGTACTTTTTTATAAAATAATATAAATAATAGCAATAATTAACATAAAGTTCACATTTATTTAGGTCACAAATAATCACAAATTCATTTTGATGACGATAATTCTTCTGATTAACTTGAAATTTTTTTATTCTTCTCCTTCTTTTTTTCAATTAAAGCTTTTTTACTAGCTTGTAACTCTTTTTTTATTTTTTTAATTGCTTAGCAATTTTTTCTTCTAATAATTCGTTCTTTGATATAACCGTTCACTAAAAAAATTACAACAAAATAAAATTTAATAATCAAAAAAGATTTTAAGTATTATTTTAATTATAAATATACATTTTATAATGATTATTTTTATATTTACAAAATATTTAATGACTAAAGTACTTTAAACACTTGACAGATTTAATTTTGGAAGAAGTTAGTATTATAATTATACGGTGATTAATTGGATTGTGATAAAATCAGAGGGTCTAATAAATGACCGAATGAATTTTTTACTGGGTAAAGGGCTTCTGACGGATCCAATAGTTGACCGGTCTTAAAATAATATCAAAACTTATAATTTAACTTTATTTTTTCAAAAAAGTTGGAATCTGATCTTTAATTAACATAATAAAACTAAAATATTTTATATTATGCCGATAAATATCACTAAATTAATGATGAAATGCACTCACTCTCCAATGGTACGCTAATTATTTTTGACCGCTTTATGGTTGGTTGCGTTGTAAACAAACTCAGAATATTTTTTTAAAGCTATAATCACTGCGCAATTAATTGCGTAATTTTTTATTATGATGATTAAATGCCATATTTTTTTATTTTAATACTTTAAGAAAAAAAAAACCCCTTGTAAAATATTAATTAATTAACTTTTTTATAGATCGGTCAACAACTGGTGCATTTACCCTAAATCTTTTCTGAAAAATTATTTTTAAAAAACTGCATTTGTAATTTTTTTAAATTTCTTCAATTTTTTCTTCTCATTTTTTTTTTGCCATAATTTATTTGTTAAAAAAATTCTAAAAATTATCAAGTATCTGCTGAATTGATTCTCATTAAAATTTTTTACCCTGTTAATTTTTAGACGAAACAACAATGACAACACCAATGACAACTACCACGCAAATACCCAGCACAAAGAGCCCGATTTACAGTAAATATGTCTGCGGAGTAAAAGGAACTTCGCGAGGTCCCATACAAGCGAGAGGAATACTCCGAGACGGCCGCGTTGTCGGAGGCGAGGACGCTGATGCCAATGAATGGTGTTGGCAAGTAGCTCTTATCAATTCTTTGAATCAATATTTATGTGGTGGAGCTCTTATCGGCACTCAATGGGTCCTAACAGCCGCTCACTGTGTCACTAAGTAAGTTATTGTAGGTTAGGATATTTATACAGGTTAGTTCTAAGCACAATCTGACAGATTCTGGTAGCATTGTCAGATCAGGTGATGCCATTTACGTGCGCGTTGGAGATCATGATTTGACAAGGAAATATGGAAGCTCAGCAGCTCAGACTTTGAGAGTAGCTACTACTTATATTCACCATAACCACAACAGTCAAACGCTGGACAATGACATTGCATTGTTGAAACTTCACGGACAAGCGGAATTAAAAGATGGCGTTTGTTTAGTTTGCTTACCTGCCAGAGGGGTCAGTCATACTGCTGGGAAGAGATGTACGGTTACTGGATATGGATATATGGGAGAAGGTAATTTTTCTTTATAAAAAGTTAGTTAGCCGACATCTAAAAATTTTTAGAACTTTTTTTTTATTAAAAAAAAATTTCATTTGTAAAAAACTTTAAGAACTTGCAGTGCAATTTTTAAAAAATATTTTTTTCTTCTAATTTAATTATTAAAAAAAAATCAAAAAATTAAAAACGTCGGGTAACTTTAGTATTATATTTTTTTTTTTTTATATATTAAGCAGTCACTTGATTATTTTTTAATTTTTTTTTAACAAACAAATTTGTTCCAACAAATCATTTTTAAAAAATTACAGTTTTAATTTTGAAAAATTTCTACATGTTAATTTTTTTTTCTCCTTTATTTGTGATGAAAATTAATTTATCAGAGATTTTATAATTATGGCAAAAAAAAAAATAATAAAAAAGTTTGTTAAGGAGGTCCTTTCGCCGCCAATGTAAAATAAAAACTATTAGATTATGAGTAAATTTAATTTTTTTCTAATAGTTAAGGTCCTTATTTATCTAATAGTGAGGTTTAAATTATACTTTACCGGACAAATTTTTGAAAAAATAAAATTTTTAAATGTTAGTATTTGTTCAGAGTCTTACGAGAAAGTCAGACGTTTGCAGTATTTCTCGAATTATACTATCAGTCATAGATTAAATGAAGTAAAAAAAAACTAAAAATTAGATTTTCGAAATATTCAGGTTTCTTTTTTTGCAATAAAATATATCAGTTACCGAAATATTTATTGGGAAATTAATATTTAAAAATCACAAAAAATTCTCAAGCAACCTACGTTAAAATGGAGTCAAAAAATTTGGCAACGTTGCGTAGCGCGCGAACTTCAGACCATTCAATAAATTCAAACTAATTCATTTATTTATTTACACTGACTGCAAAAACTTAAACGTAGTTAAGGTTATATTGTGCAAATGATAATGTAAACAACCGAAGTACAGCGTTACCAAATCACGGACAGGTTACTAGCAGCTGATTTGAAAGAATCAAATTAATTTTTGTATTTAACTAATTTTTTTTT